AGAAATTTATTTGTTTACAGACCTGGAGGCCAGAAGTTAGAGATCAAGGTGTGGGCAGGGAGGGCTCCTTCTGAAGACTGTGAGAGCATCTGCTCCAAGCCTCTCTCTTCCTTGGCTTGTAGACAGCTGTGTTCTCCCTGCATCTTTCCATCATCGTCATTCTATGTATGTCTGTGTCCAAACTTCCCCTTTTGATGAGGATAGATCCTACCCATGACCATAACTTAGTTTGCTCATCTGCAAAGATCCTATTTCCAAATAAGGTCCCATTCCCAAGTTTGGGAGGTTAGGATTTCAGCATGATTTTGGGGACACAATTCAACCGGTAACACCATCCAAGTGCGCAAGCTTGCACCTAAAAGGTCAGGGATCATGAACATATCATGGTTTATCTAGACCCCCCAAGGTGGGATTCTATTTCATTCTGTACTATTCATTTTTGAGTGAGTAATCAGAAAGAAGTGATAGAGTAACCGAGGCCTGAAGAGGGAGGCCCACGCTCTCACAGCACCCATGGCAACATGCAAGGACTGGAACCAGGACTCTCAGGCTTTCACAGAGCATCTCACCAGAATTCCAGCCTTTGCTGAGCCCAGTTCTCTGGCACTCACAGAAGCCGAGCCTTTGAATTAGACAAGCTGACAAAGGATTGGCGGTCCAACTTCAAGGGAGGCAGAGAGAAGCTGGCAGGAGCTGGGGGTGCCTGCCAGGGGATGCTCCTTCCCTGGCAGGTGAAGGAGGCCAGAGCAGTGGGAGTCAGGGGCAGGAAGGTGTCAGGGCCTGGGGAAGCCAGAGCTTGTGCAAATCAATATGGATCCTAGGAGGCATGGGAGAGGAAGCTCGTTCTCACAGCAAACTCTTCAGGGCGACAAGGTGGTGGATTCTGGCTTCAGTTCCCATTGGCCAAGACCCCTGGACATTTAAGGGAGCAGCCAGAAGAGGGCGAAGAACCCTCCTCTCTGCTCTCTGTGCCAGCTGCCCATCCATAGGAAGCCAACATGTCAGCCTTCCTGCCCACCGACGCCAGCCCAGAGGTGCCAAGACACCAAGTGCAGCGAAGCCAGCTGGCAGCGTAATGGAGAGCCAACGGCCCGGCCGGCCGGCCCATCTGCTCCTCACTGCCAGCTGCATGCCTGTGGGAGGCGGGCCGGCAGCCCATCCGAGTGGCCGAGGTGCCAGCCATCGGGCGCTCTGGGCCAGCTGGCAGGCTGGCAGGACTGGCCAGCATACCCATCTGCCCACCGGCGCCAGATGAACGTGCAGGGGAACTGTGCCCGGGGACCTCAGGGTGCCAGCCTGCCTCAAGTTCCAAGGCATCAGAGGCCCCAGTTCTCCTCTTCCCTCTCTCTCAACCCTCGAGAGCCCTGAGATGTTACTAACAAAGACTCAGATGGAGGCATGGGGAATCCCAGGGTGGGGAAAGGGAGGATTAGGGATGCAGAACCCCAGGATGGTGAATTTACAGGCCGCCAAGAGCACAGGTGATTAAAAGCACGGACTCTGGGGCCAGATTGCCTAGGTCCATATTCCAGCTCTGACACTAAGTAGCTGCATGACTTAGGGCAGGCCTCTTAATTGCCTGTAGCCTCAGTTTTCTTGCATGTAAAATGGGAAGGTAGCACCTGCTTCGTTGGGCTAAATTGAGGAAGAAATAGAATGTGGTAAACACTCTGGGAGGCCAAGGAGGACAGATCACCTAGGGTCAGGAGTTCGAGACCATCCTGACCAACATGGAGAAACCCTGTATCTACTAAAAATACAAAATTAGCCAGGCATGGTGGTGGGCCCATGTAATCTCAGCTACTTGGGAGGCTGAGGCAGGAGAATCGCTTGATCCTGGGAGGCAGAGGTTGTGGAGAGCCGAGATTGCGCCACTGCACTCCAGCCTGGGCAAGAGCACAACTCCGTCTCCAAAAAAAAAAGAATGTGGTAAACACTCAACACATGTGACTTATTATCAGTCACATTATTAGAATCAGATTCAAGGAGTGCTTTAAGCTCAAGTGTGACTCAGACATCATCGGGTCCAATTTCATCATTTTAAAGTGGGAGAATTAAGGCCCAGAGAAGAGAAGGACCACACTCAAGGTCACAATCACACAAGGAGTCGTTTGGGGTGCAGAGGCTAGATTCCAGGTCTCCCGTCACTGTCCGTAGTACGTTGCCATGGAATGCTCCCCCGAAATAGAAGAGGTGATGGAGAAGTAGGGAGGAAGCTTCCTGTCCTGCCCCGATGCATCTAAATGCCTCAGGCTCACAGCTGCCACGCTGCAGCCCTCAGAATGCACTGCCTGATATGTGAATGTGGGTGTTTCTTTCTGAGTGTTGACATCCATTCTTGTATATCTACTGTGTTAGTGTAAGTGTTTGGTACTGCCAAACAGATCCAAATCTCAAGCGCAGAGACCATGTTTTATCGGGAACATTACCCCTACCCACAAGTCACCCCTCTGGAATCCTCAGATATCATATCCAGAAAGCCCTGACATCCTTGAACCCCTATGCTTAGCACAATGCCTGGAATGTAGCTGGAGCTTTATAAACCTGTGTTGAATGAATGCATGAATAAATACATGAAAGAACCTGGTGCAGCTCCTTTGACTGGATGAGCCACGACTTTTACTGTCCACCCAGCAACCAATGAGCGTGAGGATCCTAATGGTTTTAGGATGCTGATCAGCAGCCCTTGGATCTCTCTTAGAGCCTAGCTACTCTTGGTTTGCACACAGTACTAACAAATGTGGTAAGCTCACCTTCCCGTCTACAAATTGAATTCAACAAATAAAAAGGGAGAAGGAAGGGCTGGGCGCGGTGGCTCACGCCTATAATCCCAGCACTTTGGGAGGCCGAGGCGGGTGGATCACAAGGTCAGGAGATCGAGACCATCCTGGTCAACATGGTGAAATCCCATCTCTACTAAAATAAGAAAATTAGCTGGGCATGGTGGTGTGGACCTGTAATCCTAGCTACTTGGGAGGCTGAGGCAGGAGAACTGCTTGAACCCAGGAGGCGGAGGTTGCAGTGAGCCAAGGTCGCGCCACTGCACTCCAGCCTGGTGCCTGGCGACAGAGCGAGACTCTGTCTCGGAAAAAAAAAAGGGAGAAGGAAAGCTTCAGGTAATAAAGGCCAATGAAGGTGGCTGCTGGTGTCTTCTTGGGCATCAGAAATAGGTAGATTATTTGAAAATAGCCTCACTAATGGGAAAAACTGAGTGGTCTAGGGCCATTCTGTGAAGGGGCAAATGGGGACGCCCCTTTGCATCATACAGAGCCTTTCATCTCTCACTGGAAAATAAATGATGCTCATAATGATAGAGCTGAGAGTTAGTTCAAGGGCCCCTGTCCAAACTATCAAAGAGCATAGTGCATTTTGCAGAGATTTTCATCCCAAACATAATTTTTAAGATGGTAATTAGAGGCAATCTTCCATCAACCCGAAAGCTTGGCTCTCTCAAATGACTGAGTCAGGGGAGGTTATATGCTGCAGGATCCACTGCTCTTTGTGTGGCTGGAGATGACAATTAGAGAATTGAAGGGAAGCAAAGGGAAGTGGAAGGTGGAGAGGGGGATCAATCAGGATTGCTTTGCATTCTGGACATGAATGTGATCTCCCCTTAGCTACATATGTGTAGAATGGGCAATTTTCAAAATGATTTCGCATCCATTATGCGTCACCTCATTTATTGGGATTCTTGTCTACCAAAGAAGAAACACATGCACATATGCACACACACGGATGTGCACACATACGTGAAGACACACACCCATGCACAAGTACGTGCAGACACTGACATACAGAGTAAGCCCCATCCTAAAATACCCAAGAAGCAATAAATGAAAAAAACATCTCTTCGCAGTAAAGTACACGATGCACACACTCAAACATGCATGTACAAACACACACACAGACATACAGAGATATACACGTAGGCTCACACGATTACATGCAATCACACACAATTACATGTAATCACACACAATTACATGCAAAGATGCACATGTGCACACGTGCATGTACATAAACACACAGGCGTGCACACGTATTGCCTCAGAACAGTGAGCCTGAAAGATTGTTTCCACTGTCTTGGATTGGTGAAATTTTTTTGAGACGGAGTTTCACTCTTGTTGTTCAGGCTGGAGTGCAGAGTGCAATGGCGCGATCTTGGCTCACTGCAACTTCTGCCTCCTGGGTTCAGGCGATTCTCCTGCCTCAGCCTCCTGCGTAACTGGGATTACAGGCGCCCGCCACCACGCCTGGCTAATTTTTTGTGTTTTTAGTACAGACAGGTTTCACCAGGTTGGTCAGACTGGCCTCAAATTCCTGACGTCAGGTGGTCCACCCACCTCTGCCTCCCAAAGTGCTGGGACTACAGGTGTGAGCCACTGCTCCTCGTCCAGGATCATGACTATGAGGAGGGGGTGATGACACTGTAACTGCTGCCATTCTGAGGGGGACCTCATATGATTGAGCTCTTGTGCCTGCCGTTTGACGCTCCACTTACCACCCTCTACATCTTTTTCTTTCCCCCCACTCTTCCTTCTTTTTTTCTTTCTCTACCTTTTTATTTTTTCCTCTTTCATGAACAGTTCCAGGCGTACTTTCTCATTGTAAAACATCAACATTATACTGACAAAACAAATCTTCCACCTTTGTATTGTCTGCCTTCATAACCACTCAATCTCTGAGCAATAATGGCTGTGATCAATTTCAAGTGGAACCTGCATCCCCCAATTTGACATGCAGGTCTGTAGTATATACAGAAAAGCCTCGGGTGTCCATCAACAGGATACAGGTTATGCACACTCCGAAATGCCGTACAGTAGCTGAAAATAACCAAAGCCAATTTTTGGAATAATATTAGTCAGCATCTACCGAGCCCTAAATGGGAGTTGGCACTCTCCCTGCGGTCCATCATTTAATCTTTTCAGAGACACCTGCCCACAATTAATATTCCCATTTAACAGATGTGAACACCAAAGAGAGGTAGGATTGGGACATTAGGACATTTGTCACGCTCAGACACTAAAATTGGAATGATCCAGAGAAGATTAGCATGGTCCCTGTGCAAGGATGACATGCAAATTTCTGAAGGATGTTAGGATATTTGTCCAGCCAGTGTGTTGCAGACCTGAGATTCAGACCACATGATCTGTCTCTAAAGCCTGCGTTCTTAAGACTCACATTAAGATGACCAAGAAGGAATCAGCGAAAAAAAAATCCCTTTGCAGAAAAAGGCGTACAGTACGATCCCATTCATAGAGAAACTGAACACATATAGGTGGGTGCATACATGAATGTATGGCTTTCCATAACTCTTGTGACATCCCAGTATGCTTTTAACAAACGACTGGCGCAGCACAGAGGTGAACAGACCTTCTAAGGCCATGGAGCTGGGTTCAAGTTCACCTCTGTCCGACTACACAGCTTTTGCTGTATTCACAATACTTTCTTCCTGTGATAACAGAGTGAACTCTGCTTGGGGTTGGGTGAATTGGGAGAGGATTGTTTTTTAAAGAGTTTGCCCCCAAAGGCATCTTTCGGGGAGAACACCTGTCCCTCACTGTGTCATGCCTCTAGAAGGGCATGTGTAGCCCCATGAGGTCAAAGAAGAAAAAACTCTGGGCTGCATAAAGTGTAGGGCCATCCCAGAGGGAGGACCCCTCCGGTGCTGATGATTGAAAGATGCCTCCAATGCCCCCATTATGGAGAGACATTGTTTACTGGCTTCTTGGTTTGGCACTGCAAAGTCTCTTTAAAAATCTTAGCAAGTTTCAAACGCACCATGAGGCTGAGGGAAGTTCTTCAGCTGCAGCCCTGGAGACCTGGGTGGCAATCCTGTCTCTGCCCCTTGCTTACTACCTGTCCTTTCCCTACTCTGTTTTCCAACTCTGCCTCGCTCACTGGGGCAGGGGGTTGGATTTGGGGAGTGGTCTCGGAGAGCCAGTGGAAAAAACACCAGGGTTAGCCTTCAAAACTCAGCCTCGTGTCTTACAAAATTCACGACTCGAAGCAACACACTTGATATCCTGGAGTGTCGCTTTCGATGCATATCTGTCTCACGGGCAGTTGCTATTCATGAGTTCTTGGTGGTGTTCTAGGCAGAGGCAATGGCAAGTGCAAAGAACCTGTGGCACCATGCTTGATGCTCTCTGACTGCCATCTCAGAGGGGAAGGCGCCAAATGTGGGCCACCTCGCATTGATCACGCCATCCGTGAGGGTCAAGAGGACCAGAGTGGTCAGGTAACTGACTTGAGGTTGTGGAGCTTTCCAATGACAAAGCAAGGGCTGGAACCAGACAGGACTAGAGTGAGACACGTGTCGGGCAGAAAACTTAAGGGGCGCCAAAAAGTTCAGCAGTCAAGATAAATAGCATGTTAATAAAACATTATTTAAAAAATGAAAGTTAATGCAAATAAATTCCTGATGAGCAGATGATCGACATTTTAAACTGTTACAGGATGAGTATTACTGATTTCTCCTTTTGCCTCAGCCTCCAAAATGGTTCTTCATAAAACTTTATTTAGAATGTTTAGATTTTATCATAAACGTTTTTTCATTAAATTTGATCTTTTAAAAGACTGCATGAAAATGTTTATTTTGGCTGCTGAGGTTTTTGGTGCCCCTCAAGTTTCATGGCACGCATCTTACCCTGGTCTGGGCCCTACAGGTCTGCCAACCAGGATGCCTTGTTCCTTCCCTGCATCTCCTCTCTCATTCATTCATTCATTCATTCATTCACTTATTTGGTCATTCAGCAAGTCTTTTGGGAAGTCAGTGATTCCAGGAACTGGGAAAATATCAGTGTCTTAGTCTCACACTAATAAAGACATACCCAAGACAGGATAATTTTTAAAGGATAGAGGTTTAATTGACTCACAGCTCCTTCCACATGGCTGGGGAGACCTCACAATCACAGTGGAGGGCAAAAGAGAAGCAAAGTCACGTCTTACATGGGAGGATGCAAGACAGCTTGTGCAGGGGAACTCCCATTTATAAAATCATCAGATCTCATGAGACTTAGTCACTATCACAAAAACAGTGTGGGGGAAGTCACCCCCACAATTCAATTATCTCCCCCTGGCCCCACCCTTGACACGTGGAGATTATTAGAATGCAAGGTGAGATTTGGGTGGAGATACAGCCCAACCCCATCGGTCAGTGAACAGGATAGTCATCGTGTCTGCTCTCCAGAAACTCAGTCTAGTCGGGGAGACAGACATAACTCAAATAATCACATAAACCACTGTAAAAGTAAAAATGTGGAAATAGAACAAAGGGGCAGTTATGGGGGAGTTGACCAAGAATGGAAGTCAGGGAAGGCTTCCCTGAGGAGGTGGTGTTTGAGTGAGAAGGAATTAACCAGCTGGGGGTGGATTGAAGGTATGTGGCTGAGGATGTTCCAGGCAGAGGAACATTCTTGTCCTTGTCCTCTGCCAGGATCGAGATGATGGAGAGTTCTAGAAACACAAAAGAAGCCAGTGCGGCTGGCATGCTGAGAGCCAGGAAGAGTGGGATGCAACACAGCAATGGAGAAGGGCACGGCGCCTGCAGACAGTGGGGAAGGACTGGATCTCTGGCCCAAGGACAGTAAGGAGCTGCGGAAGGGTTTTGAGCTGATGAGTGACGTGATCAGGTTTCCTCTTTGGAGTGATGCCCCTGGCTGCCGGGTAGAGGTGGGTTGGCCCTGTGGCTGGATCCCACACTCCCTAGGTTTCTAGTCCAGCTTCCCCCTTGCTTGTGGCATGACGGTGGGCAAGTTACTCAGCACTTGCTCTCTCTGTGAAGCACCTGCTTCCGAAAAGCACTTGCTTTCCAGTTCACTCATCTGTAAAATGGGTTACCAGCCTCTTGAAGTTGTTTAGAAGATTAAATGAGATAGGCATGGGTCTCCTAGAATAAGCCTGGCATAGAGTATGCATTCTATAAATGTCGTCATGATTATTATTACAGATGACAGATTTGGGGGCAAAATAGAAGACACGGAGAGATCAGCTTCTGCCCTCAGCCCCTGGGGTGGCTCAGTCCATCTTCTCTGCCTGAAGCTCGCGGCTCCCCTCATTAGAAAGTGGCTGTTCTTTTGACTGTGTGCTCTCTGGAGGAGAGGGCATGGTGGAGGCTGCAGGAACTCTGTGAAGGTCTTAAAAGAAATTATAGCCTGCATAAAAATATTCACTCCAGTGGAAGGCCTTAAACCATTCCCTTGGGCATTGAACAGTGACAGAGAGTATATTACTGTGCACTTAAGGCAACTGCAGCCACCCAAGGTCAGAGAGAACGGAAGGGAAGCACTTAAGCATGGAAGGACCCCTAAATAGGAGCATGCTTTCCGGAGCTGTCCGTCTCCCCCACCTGCCAAACGTCTCATCAGTCCCCTCCTTATCAACAACCCCAAGAAAAAGAACAGTCACTGAGATTCCTTAGGGAGGTAGGGGAAGGAGAGAGGAAAGAGGCTGGGAACAAGAGAGTGTCCCAATTTTAGGGTGTGGTGGCTCATGCCTATAATCCCAGCACTTTGGGAGGCTGAGATGGGCAGATCACATGAGGCCAAGAGTTCCAGACCAGCCTGGCCAACATGGCGAAACTGCATCTCTGCTAAAAATGCGAACCTTAATGGGGCATGGTGGTGCACGTCTGTAATCCCAGCTGCTTTGGTGGCTGAGGCAGGAGGATCGCTTGAACTCGGGAGGTGGAGGTTGCAGTGAGCTGACATTGCACCACTGAACTCCAGCCTGGGCAGCAGAGTGAGACTCCATCTCAGAAACAAACAAACAAACAAACAAAGAGTATCCCAGTCTTAGCCATGACCTAGAAAGAGTTACTTAAAACTACAGACCTCAGAAGTATCATCTGTAAAATGAGAGCCAAGCCACCTGCTTGGTTGTAATTCCAATTAGAACTGAATGAAGAACTCCAGCCTGGAATGCCACATAGAAAGGGCTTGAAAATGATTCTTTCTCCTTGTTGCTTTGATCTTTCTTCGCAAGAAATTCTTTTTTCTCTCCCAAACTCTAGGTGACTTTACTTCTTGGCAAGTTTCATAAGCTCTGCAATCCTGTTTGCTCATCTTAAAAGCGGGGATAGTAACCATAAGGGATTACTGGTGAAGTGTGAGGATTAATGAGTCTCAAAATCACTGGGAGCAGGGAGACTGCTTCTCACCTGTCTTGATGGGTTTTGTGTTTTCACGGCATGAAGGCGGTCGTAGGTAGACGCCTTCTTCACCCATTTCTCCTGTGCAGTACTTTCTGCTCACAGGCTCAGCAGTGTGGAATCATAGGTAATCACACGTAATTCATGGATCTTAGTAGGTCCATGAATCAGTCCTCTGCAGTCATACACACAAACTCATCCTGTCCTTAGATGGGGCGAGGGACAGGTCCCTGGCATCCCAAAGAACTAAGGGGCTTGGTGTCACAGGGAAAGGTGCTCTGGGCCAGGACTCAGAATCCAGATATGGGCTTTCACTGGCCCGGGGTCAGACTCTTTAGCGGGCTTTTCTGGCCTCATTTTTGTCACTGAGAAACAATCGGGTAAGCAAGGGGAAAGAATGGGATGCGCTTCATGGGGTTATTGTGAGAGTTAAGCAGGATAATGCCTCTGAAACCCTTAGCGCATAGGAGGAACACGAAATCTATTAGCTTGTTTTCCTCCTTCCACAGGGCAGAGATACATTTTCTGCAGTATGCATCACACTTTCACTTGCTCTCTGACCAGTATAAAAATTAAAAGATATATATGTATACACACACACACACACACACACACATACACACACATTCATCAAGAGAGACTAAATAAAAAAGAAAAACTAGGTTCACAGCTGGTAGAAAGACCCACCACTACCAAGGAATATTTTTTGGTGAAGGTGGGGACAAAAAGCAGCATTCTGCGGTTCAATAGTTTAGGTAAGCCTTGCGCTGATGAAAGTAAACAGGTGTCTTTCTCATCGGGTAGGTTGGACCCTTAGAATGAGATGTACACTGGAAAGCAACGAGAAGAACTTAGATATTCAGTGTTTTTTTCCTAACCTATGTGGCGGTGAATGCTCTGGATGGGGCATCTCTCTGAACTAAGCCTCTGGGGCATGCTATTTTGGGGCGGGGA